CTCGCTGTCGCGGCTGAGCAGAATCGGCGAGCTGCGATTGAACGCGTTTGTCGACGAGGATATGCTGCGCCTGCTGCTGCTGAGCTGGACGGTTGCGTACAATGCTATGGTATCTGCAGAGCACGGCTGCGTTGCTGCCGGAAGCTCGGCAAGCGCTGCCGCCGTTGCCGCTGCGTAGTTAGACAATGTTTCATTTGTGTTAATAATTCTTCTATTCCGTTGTTAAGCGCATTCATTCATAAAGTAGTTAGCATAGACGCTGTGTTTGACTTGGAACGAGCCAAATTTATTACCGCTAAAAAATAAAGTTGCATTTTTTTTACAAGTAACGGTGCGGCTGAAATGTGTGCTGGATTCATATAAAACTAATCAAACATGCTAGTTGCGGTTAGCCAAAAAACAAGGAAAAGCTATTCGCTTTTTGCTTGATTTCTTCGATTTTGATCCATATTTATTCTTTGCTGCGCAAGTCTTGGCGAACATTCTGTGACATGACGGCATGCAAAGTAGTGTTCTTTTTTCCCATTATTCCGCACCTGTCTAACGCCAGATGCCAGTATATAAAAAGGGATAAAGAGAGAACGACATGCACAGCGTCAATAAAGACAATATATATTCGCCTATTTCTTATTTACTATGAACAACAACACTACCGCGTTTACAATCTTCTGGACAAAGTCGCTGGCGGGCGAAGTCGGCATCTATCCGGGCATAATCCATGACCGGCCCAAGGAAACCGAGCCCCTGTACACCACCCGCCCTGGCGTGCGCAAGTACCAGCTGTGGGATGCTGCGCACAGCAAAGACCAGCCGCTGCTTCTGGGCAAGCTCGACCATATGTTTGGCTCCTCAATCACTGTCCGCGGCGACTACCTTGTTTCGCGCATAAAAGGTGTCAAGTCATCGTCGGTCAACCAGACATTTGTATATAACGCCGAGCAGTTCACGTGGGTGGTGGGCAGGTGGAACAAATCCATGTCGCTGCAGAATGGGAGCGGCGTGGAAATCGTCTCGTTTGACCGCTCCATGTCGCGGATGTCCAAAATCGGCGAGCTACGGTTAAACACGTGGGTTGGCAAAGACCTGCTGCAGTTGCTGCTGCTGAGCTGGTCAGTCACCTACCAGACCATGGTGGCTCTGGAACAAAGCGGTGTTATTGCTTCTTAATTATACTGTGTCTCACAATACACCAAATAGAAGGAAGCGCGCTCTAACAGAAGATTAGACTAGCATAGCATATATTAAGCGTAAGACTCGGCCATAATTTCCATTCTGGCGGTCTTCAACGCCTAATAAACGTCGCATTTGGCTGGCAAAGTTGTCTCGGAAAAGACTACCGTTTGTAAAGTAACATTGTAGACAGGGAAAAAGCAGGAATAGACTGCTAAAATCCGGCCCGGCTAGCTCAATCGGCAGAGCGTGAGACTCTTAATCTCAAGGTTGCGGGTTCGACCCCCGCGTTGGGCTGTTTTGCAGATTTCAATTTTTTATTTGCAGTTTTTTTTTTACAAAAATTAGAATAAAGCGAGCGAACAGGATAATACATTTTTATTATGTTAGTTGAGGACAAAGTTGTACTGGTTGTCATAGTCAGAGTTATGTACCAGCCACAGGGCGACGGAGGCGAGGAGGATGGCGACGGACTGCAGGACACCGGTGAAGCCAATGTAGAGGACGTCGGCGGCGACCTGGGGCACAATATACTTGATAGTCAGAATGGTGAGCGAGCCGGCCAGGCCGCCGGCCAGCAGGGCAATGCCAATAAACAAAGTCAATTTGGCCTTTCCAGCGAGGCCACTGGACCCGTAGCCAAAGCCGTCTTCGCGCAGCAGCGACAAGTCGATAGAGTTAGTGATGATCATGCCCAAGGTGCACAGGAGCCCGGGGAGCCAGTCCTCGAAGCCCAGGGCGATCGAGTCGTGGGTGCGCGAGAGAATGAGGCCGTCGAGGAATATCCACCAGCCCAAGGTAAATAGGGCGCCGGACAGGTAGGTGCCCGAGTCGTGCAGGTGTGCGTGCAGGGAACTGGGCAGACGTGGGAGCTGGCAGTTCCAGACAAACACACGGGTCATCTTTTAAGTAAAAAAATTGGTCAAAAGAGAATGGGAGAATGAACTAGAAACAGATTGCAAAGGATAAAAAAAACGCGAATTAAGAATAAGGAGAAAAAAGAAGGAAGAGGGGGAATTATTTCGCCATTCCTTACTCTTTTCACTCGTCTCTCCTCCCTTTTTTCCTAAAAGGGCGCTTTTTTTTTTAAAGTATTCTGTCAAATGTCGCAGCCGCTGTTTGGCGGAGCGCTAAGCATAACCGTGCCCGACGGGTTCGTTGACATCAGCCAGGTGCGGCAACTGCCGGACCACCAAGAAGTGTTTGCGTCATCGACCACGGACCAAAGCCTGATCGTCGAGATCCTCGAGGCC